CCCCCCCCCCCCCTCGCTCGCTCTCCCGCAGAAAAGTCGAAAGAAAATGACACGGCAAGCCAACTGAGAGAACAGAGAGAAAGAAGAAAGGCCGTAATTTGGGTGAAGAATGAGGGGAATGAAGAGCGCTCGTCTTCATCTGCGCCTCGCATGAGAGCCCGCCGCCACTTTCATGTCATTCCTTCAACGCCAGCGTCCAAATGTGGCCGACAGTCGACGGCCTGCGCCGCGCCTCTCGACGCGTTCGGGGCTCCGTGACGCGAGGGCGCGACAGCTGGGGCGCTTGGAGCCGGCCGGCATTTACATTTGTTTACCTTTGCGTGACGGCGTGGATACGACGCACGCGTTCTGGTAGACGCCGTGCGGACACGCGGACTCAATATCGGCAAGATGAAAGAACCGTCGCGGGGGCGGGGGCGGGCCGGAGCGTCCGTCCATCAAAACGGACGCCGCGTACGATCCCTTCGCCCATGTACAAAGTACGTGCTGAACGTCCAATTCCGGAGTCCTCTCCGATTCGCTTTGGCCGTTTTTCCGCAAGCGAGGCTGGCCAGGAAAGTCGGAATGTTGCCCACAGTCGCGGCGAGGAACGGGACGAAACATCACGTGCGCGTTTGGATTTGGGGCTTGGAAAGCGACTGCGTGAGATCCTCGCGAGGTCGTGGTTCTCATCGCTCGCGAGCGGCCGCCGCGGGCCCGAGTTCGCGATCCCTCCGATCGACAGGCCTCAACCTACTTTGGCTCGATAGCGGAGCCGTTGATGGTGAAGCGAGCAGAGAGGAGCGTGCGGCGGCGACAGGCAAGGGGGGCGTCGGGTCTTGTTATTCCGAAACCCAAAACCCCGTTCAACATAATGGAAAATAGTTGAGGTCTCCTTTTATTAAGCCAGAGCGCCTTTGATGTCGGACGTCTTTATTTGTTTGAGAAGAAGAAAGGGAACGGGGCGACGTGGCACGCAACCATCTCCTTTTGGAGCGAGCGGACCAAAAGCAACAACAACAACAACGACCAAAAAAAAAAAAAAACGAAATAAAAGGCCCCTCTGGCTCATTGGACATAATCAATGAAACGTCACCACGGGCCGCATCAAAGAGCAGCAGAAAAGGATCAAAGTCAAGCGCCTTTTGTTTGAGAGCGAACCGCTTCCTGCCCGCTACCGGCGGGTCCCGCTCGGAAGCGTAAACGACAAAAGCACAGCGAGTCTGCGTAAGATGCGGTGCAACCGACCCAATTCCAAATTTGGAGGGCGCCAGGCATGACAGCGTCGCCGGCAAAAAAAAAAAAAACAACAACTCTTTTGCCGAAAACAAAACATTGGTGGAAAAAGCGCAGCATTGTAAACTTCCAAAAGGTGAAACCCGTTTCCAAACGGGACAGAAAGCCGCTCCACTTTGGAGAAGACTCGCAACTGTTTGGACCGCGCCGACTGAACGCCAACACAAGCGGTGCGAATCAAAGCCAACAAGCGACCGAGTGCGCCGCCGCTCTTGCCATTGCAAGATTTTGCTCTCGCAATCAAGCAACCGATCAGCTCACTGGGAACGAGCTCTCATTTGCCTGCGACACTGTGATACGCGAGCTTTTATTTTCACGCGCAAACACACGCTGCGTACGCACATTTGTAAAGATCACCGTCATGCCGCGAAGCCCGGAGACTAAATTGGCCTGGGGTTTTGACCGGCAGTGGGGAAAAGCGCTCCAAAAAGGCATTCCGGCAATCAAAGGCGCAAACCTTCGCTTCGCTTCTGAAGCGTTCGGGCCACTTTGAAATGAAAGGCCGCGGCAGTCATGAAGGCACTTTGGGCTCCTTTGGTGTGAAACGGACACGGCACGGAGGAAGCGGCATCAGCAAATGGCTGATTTCACGGGGGGGGGGAATACTAGACACACACACACAAAGGCGAGAGCTGTCAAACGATTAAAATATTTCATCGAATTAAAAAAGCAACTGTCATCATTAACTCGCTAAAAAAATGCCTGAGTACACATTTTTTTATGGTTTCTGAATTTCCTTTTCTATTTTTTTGTCCATTTTTTTCCCGCTTTAATGCTCTCATCAACATGGACTCGTGGATCCGTTTTCTACGTGCAAAATGCAAATATTGACTGAAACTTCAATTTTACATGAACATTTTTCACTTGGAGCAGTTGTTCACACATCATCTCTCACACAACATGACTGTCTATCAACAACAGTGGAAAAAATATTTGGCCACACAACCGCTCCGTTTAGGGAATCAAAACAGAGCAATATCAAATGAGAAAGTGCACATCGAAGGTAAACTAGTACTCAGCCGAGAGTGGATTGAAGCCATGGTTGCATACTTGGTTTTTCTCAAGTTTGCTTTGAACACAGCGGTCAGGCTGTGTTGATTCTGTTGGTCCTTCTGGCGGGGAAGTCTCTCTCTCTCTCTCTCTCTCTGGTTTGCGTGGACATCGTTTGGGACGACGCACAACACCGGAGACGTTTTTCTTTTCGGTGCGGTCGCTACGACCGCACAGCCGAACTCTCGACTTGCCTCAGCTCACCGTCGCTGTGTGACGAACGCGGTGAAGCTCCGCCCGCTTTATTTCTACGGACACGGAACACGGTCACCTTCCGCTCCAAACGATCGCGTCAGTGGCATCCGTCGTACTCGACCGGAGGCTCGTCGAGCTCGTCTCTTATTTCTCTCCCGAAACAGCGCGCCTGAGCCTTCTCCGCTACGTACGATTTCTGCACATACCTTGTCACGAAGGCTCTCGCTGGCAACCCGCGGTGGAGTCGTTCCACGCGATGCGAATGATTTCAGCTTGAGTCGAGCTGCGGACGATGTGCACAGGCTTGCGCGCGGTAGCCGTACGTTGAGCTTTGGCTTCAGCGAACGCGTTCTTCGTCGCGTTCTCCGTTTTCTTCGCTTTGACGTGACCCCGAGCTGCCCGTCGGAGACCAGGGGGCGGAGTAGTCACGTCAGCTGTGCGCTTGGCCACGAGGTGCTATTTCGGACTCGACGCGCGAGGACGATCGCTCAGTTTACGACCGCAAAACATCCAGGTCGCGTCGGTCTTGTCAGTGGAACAATCTGGCAACGTTTTAAAAGGAAACTTTCCACTCATGAACTCTTTAGGTATCCCTTTTCGGCGTCTCGCGCTGCCGCGGCTGGCCAAACAGACGCGGGCGTGCACTTTTGCGGCGCGCTCGTTCTTTTGTTTATTTGTAGAGCGACGTAAAATCCGCTGCGACGTGTGCCGCGGTAATCTCGCGAGAAAAAATGGAATCACGTTAAACTGACAGCTCCAATGCAGACATTCAATTTCAGAATGGGTGAAAAGTAATGCTTGTAAAACTTGCAAAAGTGAAGAAAATGGCAACGTTGGTGCATATTTTCTGCAATAAAAATAAAAAATCACTTTCTCAATTGGTGTGAGGTGGATCCACTTGATTGACTTCGGTGGCCCACAAACGTTGACTTCCTGAACGGACTCCAGTTGGAACCATCTTGGCCCCCCACGTGTCCCACCCGCGCTCAGTCCGTCCTCATCAAGCGCAGCAATATGACGCCGTGCCCCGAGTGCAGCCTCTCACCGTCCATCACCAACATTAGTCTCGTAAAAACTCTTTTTTTTCCTGTGAGAGTGGGCTTGACCCACCTCCTCTTCTTCTTCTTCTCGCATATATTTAAAAAAATAAAATCAAAAAAGACAACGCATTGTCACGGGCGCCCGGCAGAAAACAGAAGGAGAGCTTTGAAGATCTTGACCCTCCGGAACAATAAAACGGCAACATCAAACGCTTGGCCCGACCCTCGAACCCCAGCGGCGGAATAGGCTCACGCGTAGGAAACTGCGGCGTTCGCTGGAAGTGAGGCGCCTTCAACAGGGGCGGGCGGGCGGGCGGGCGCACGTGCTTCAAATGGCCACGCGCCAAATCATCCACATTTTTCCTCCCTCCCTCCCTCGGTCGGACGCGTCAACGGAGCCTTGTGAAGCGAGTGTTCAGATGCGGCGCGGTCTTTGAGGCCACCCGGGAGAAAGCGGTGTCGAGCGCCCGCTTTTGAGCTCCGGAGGGCCGTCGAGCAGTCGAGCACTCGGCCCTGACATGAAAGCGCTCCCGAGCGCACCTCGCTCTTGGCGTCCCTCTTCCGCCCTCCGCGCGCAGCCTCCGGAACCGAGCGAATCGCCCGTCCCGGCCTGATGTGGGCCCACGCAAAAGCCACGCGTTCATTAATTCGGAAGGCCTTGTTCATTTCAAAGCCGACAAACACCGGAACGCTCGCCCTCGCTTCTACTTGCCCGCCTTCATTTGAGCCGTCCTGCGGCGCGTCCGACCCGGTGCCGCGGCGGACAGCCCGCGCTCGCCTTGGTGGGGCTCCTAAAGTAAGTCAATAAAGCAGAAAGTTGGTGAGAATTAGCTCTGCACCTGTCCTCCAGATGTGAGGCTGCTCACGTTGATCAAATTTGGCCTGATTCTTCAAGGCTCTTGACGTACACCAAGGAAACAATTCAGAGCGTATTCATAGGCACATGTTTGTTTGTTTGTTTGTTTGGGGGGGGGGGGCTACAAAAGGCTCTCTCATGTCGCAGTAAACTGACTCGGCTCCAACGCCACAGAAACGGCCACACGGAACGTATCAGACACGCTAACAAGCAGCAATCGTGGAGGAGGGGGGGCACAAGGGGAGGACATGGCTGAACTTGAAGAGACTCCAGAGGAGACTGACAAGGCGGCCAAATGGAGTCTTTACGAACATAAGCCGAACAAAGACGCAGCGTTTGCTCGGCACCAAAGCGATGAGTGACCAGCAGACACCCGGGCGGCATCGGCTCAGCGCCCCCCCAACCAAACAGGACTTTGCAGGACGCCGCGAGGAAAAGCCTCAACAAAGAGAAGAACTGAGCAAGTGGAGTGCGGTGGGAAAAGGGCTGGGGGGGGGGGGGCAAAGCCGACCATCCTGCCGAAGCAAAAATCGGTGCGACGACTGCCAAGCATTTGGCCAATTTGACCAAGCGGCGGCCGGAAGAAAGTAACTTTTGAAAAAGGCGCTCCTCCGACAACAAAAACGGGGACGGTGATCCGCTGTTGAGGCCGCAGCACGCTCGGAAAGAGCCAACGCACACCCGAAACAAACACCGCCTCGTCATTCCTTGCCATTCATGCGCGCGCGGGCGGACCCTACAGAGAGCCCTCACTGACATCGGAAGCGTGGCCCTGAAGCTCCGAGAGGTGGCCCCGCGAACCACAAGTCAACCGATGGAATCTTTTTCCATTGAAAGGGATAAGACAGCCACCGAGTGACACGCACGTCAAATCGAGTCGAGCGCTAACGTCATGTCAAGCGTTCAAAGCGCATTCGCACGTTTGATCCCAAGTGACGAGCATCTGGCAGCCAGCCAGCCGGCCGGTTAGCGTGAGAGCCGAACGTAGCGGTCGAGGGCTTCGCTCGGTGCTTTTCCTCCAATATCACAAACAGATGGACTCCAATGCACGACGCCAATCGCGGCCCATTCAAAGCAAAGTCCTTTGTTCGCAAAAGGCTCCGGTTGAGCGTCCTATCGAGCCGACAGCATTGCAACGACAACAAAAAACAGCAAGGATCCCCAAAATTCCCCCGTCCGCTCAATCGTCCGCACGCGCCGGCGTGCGGCGAAGGCGAGCGAGCCCCGTTGGCGCGGGCGCTTTTCAGCCACGCAAACGCAATGGGCAAAGCAAACTCTTGCGGGGCCTGCTGCCAACCACTTCTTTTCCATCGTCGAATCAAACGATGGTCAGGAGTTTGTCGGCCGCTCGCTCGTACCTCCAGGCGGCGCCGCGCATTGCGTCTCCGCCGTCGCCGTTCACCCAACGGCGGGTCTGCGGGTGACCGCTCCGCGCCGTGTCACGTAAGCCCGCTCAGGAAACGGTAAAACGGCGAGCCGCTCGTCACTCGGGAGCGCTCCCGAGCCGTCCGCTTTCTTCGGCGCGGCGATCCCGCCCCCGCCCCAAGACCCAACGAGATCCGAAGGCAAAATGCTCTCGTTCTTAACGCTCGGAGCAAGCCCGGCCAACTTTCCCGACCGAGGCCGGCCGCAAGCTTTTCATCATTTGGCCGCGCGGCTCTCGCCGGTCGGGGTTGCCAGACGTGGCGTTGGAATCCCCCGATTTAGGAAGGTTGAGTCAGGTTTTCTCCTGGAAGTCGGAGCAAAACCTGGCCCTCTTGACCAGAACCAACCGAGGTTCCAAAATCTTTCACAGACGTCACAATGAGCGCGGTTCGCCCTCACCCGACACATGAACGAGTTCATGAACGTTTGTCCATCGAACTGGTTCAACTAAAACGCCGCCAACCGTTACGGTCAATATTCCGTGTCCGCAAAATGTGCGAGCGGGGTGACGAGGCGGCGGCAAGGATGGTTTAGGATCCAAAAAAAAAACCACCACCAAAAAGAAATCAGACGGCAAGGCATCAGATCTGCATCGTGAGGTCACCCGTCGGACAGCCGGCGACGCCGTCGCCCTTTGGCAGACGGCGTCAAGCGCCGCGCACCCTGGCCCAGAACAAAAAACATCAAAGCGGGTCGCCCCAAAGCCGCCACGGCTCTTCCGGCAGCTTCCCCCTCCGGCGGCCGCGCGACCGGCGAAACGATCCCCCCCCCGACATCCTCACCACCGACCCTGGACTCGCTCTCAGGATCTGGGAGAGGTGGAAACAAAGGCCTGACTTACCGGAGGGGACGAAACCTGGGGACCCGAGCAGACGAGAACCCTCCCAAACCCCTGACTTGTGTGCTCAACAGCAGCAGCAGCAGCAGCAGCAGCAGCTCTGCTGCATCCACGAAGCGCAACCAGCCGACCGCAGAGAGCCTCAATGCGAGCTGTCCGGTCTTGAAAGCGTTGCTTGCTATCGGGCGGGCGGCATCATGTGCAAGCCATACGTGCCGTGCCCCCCTTCCCACCTTACCAAATGAGAACCTGCTCCCCACATGACTCCCGCTTCGCTTGCTCTGCGTCTCTCTCTCTCGCGCTTTGCCGTTTGCGCGCAGATCTTGAGATGCCCCCTCCCGATCGAAGGTCGTCCGGCGTCGCTCCGCCGGCGAATGTCAGCGACATGCGACCAGGGCGCGCGTCGGGGACATCGCGCCGCTCGCCGGCCGAGTGTGAAGACTCAATGGCCGCACCCGCGTCGCAGGCTATCGCCGCCGCGCACCTTAACGGGGCCGGCCGATTCGGCTGCGCCGTCGGCGCCCGCTACGCGGCAACGCCGCGCTTTGGCGAGTTCCGCCTGAGAGGGACTTTCAAATATGGCCGCCCTCTGCCGCCCCGCCTCCCGCGCCGCTTTCCGGTTATTCGGGCGACAACAACAAAGCTCGACTTTTGGGCTCAGCACACACGCCGGATCATTTGCGGCGGGGCTGTTCTCCGAGGGCCGCCGTCCTGGCCGCGCGCCATCCCTCGCCGCCCGATTCAAGTGAGCGGATCGCGGGCGCGCTCCGCAAAAGCCGGAGGAGGCTCCTTGAAATCGGGCGGCTGGCGGCGGGGGGAGACGGGCAACGGCTCGCAGAGCGGCCCTCCGGGAACGGGCTTGAGGAGCCCTGACTTCAAGTCAGGTTCATGGGACATTTCCTCATCCAACTTGCTCGTTAGCGAAAGCGGAACGGACTCAATCAGTCCCTTCACGCGTAAACGCACGCCCATATGCTCTGTGCAGCCGCCAGCGGTTTTGTTTGATCTTCCCTACTATTAAAAGCGCTCGCTTGGTTCGCAGCAAACGTCAGCCATGAAAATCCCTCTAAAAATGAAAACGGTGGGAGCGCAGTGACGGATCCGCGCGCTCGGGATGCTTTGCTCGGTTTCGGATATACGGTCGCCCGGGAAAGTCTGAAGAGAGACGGCGGGGGAGACGATTGGAGGAGGGAGGTTGGGGAAGAGTGATGACCGCCGCTTTGATCTTTGGCGGCCCTGTCTGGATTAAAAACAAACAAAAAAAAAAAAAAGGGATCCGTGTCACCTGAGCGTTTGCCCCCTCCCAAATGAATGAAGGCACTTTGAAATGATATGAACGTGCAGGAGGCAAACAAGAGGAGTATTGCCACTTAAAAAATTGACATCGCAATGAGCATTGCTGTCGGGACTTACGCAAAGCTCGAACAATGAGAGGCGGAGTACACCCTGGACTGGTCGCCGGCCAATCACAGTTGTCGTTTTGTTTTTTAACCAATGACTTCAATTTGTCTTCTGTGATGGGGATGTCGTGTACGGTCACTTTAGGAATGGATGTTGCCAAGGCAACATGGACATTTTGTCTGGGTTAAAAAAACCAAAAACACAGATATCCAAGATTTGCTTTCCCCTCTTAAATGACTGTGCGAATTTTGCTCAGCTGAAGAATAAAGTGCGGACTTCCACTTTCCCAGTTGGCGTCGCAGAGGGGGAGTTGGTGTCTGGATCAAAGAAAAATGATCCCAAATCACCGCGATGACACCGTTCTTCCGTTCAACGGCAAAATGAACCTTACTGTGGTTGGGACGAGGCGAGCATCTGACAAAGCTTTGACTTTCGTCAGTCCATCGCAAATTGCTGTTGCAAAGGGCAAGCGGGCATTTCAAGGCCGATGAAAAGAAACGCAACGTCGTAGATCAAAGGAGGCATGTGTGTTGAGTCCATTTGGAAA